GGTGATCTTCCTCTATAACTTGAGTTATATGGGGATTGATTTCTTGTATAACTTGTATTGTTCGGAAGTGGCTTTCCTGAACTGTTGTTGCTGTATACATTTTTGTTTGGTAGATTTTGATCTTTTTTCATGTATTGATAGAATGATTTATTTGGTTCTTTGTATTTTTGAGGTTTATTTTGACTATCTTGCTGTTTTTGTCTACATTCGGAAATACTATGTCCGTATCGTCGGCAATAATTACACCATTTTTTGAAAGATGGTTTGCCTTTGAAGTTTGGGTTCTTTTCATAAATATTGAGTATTTCAGTGATTTTTTCAACGAGGTCTGTTTCTGATTCCTGTATATTATTAATATTAGTGGAAGTCGTTTCAATTTTGTTAACGTATTGTAATTTCAGATTTTCCGTTTCTTCTAGTTTCATCGTGATTTCTGCTTGTTCTAGTTTGTCTACTAGTTTTCGAAAATCTAAATCGGGTTCTCGAATTGAAGAAGGATGAGATGCTCTCTTTTTTATTGCTATTTTCCTTAATTGTGGTGTTAAGGTCATCATTAAGATTTCTGTCATCTTTGTGTTTTTATAGTCATGTGTATTTAGTGAATATGCTTTTCGAACTAGTGTTTCGATTCGTACTGCTATTTGCTTGATGGTTTCGTTTGGTAATCTGCGAATTTCATTACATAAAACTCTTTGTTGTTGTTTGTTTCTTTCGGAGTCAAACATTTTTGAAAATTCTTGTGTAAATCTTTTCCAGTTTGATTTTATTTCTAGAGGTAGTACTGAAAACCATTTTTGGGCTGCGCCATCTAAGGTTGTTTGTATCAACGCTGTGCGTCGATGTATCCAGTTTTGATGTAGTGGCGTATTAATTGGTTCAGGTCCTATATTTAAAATCAAATTTGCTGTTACTGCATTTAAATAATCTTCTACAGAGTATTCAGGGTCTGTTCCTGTGAAAACCATTAAAGGTTTGTTTGATGTTATTGATGATCCACCCATAAGGTATGGATTCATTGTCATTTGTAATGATTCTGCTGCATTTGGCATTTGAGAAAAATTTGAAAGTTGGTTTCTTGTTATTTCATGTTGTTGAAGATAATATGGGAGTGGTATTTCATTTTGCATTTGTGATGGTTGATACGAGTGTGCAGTCATTGGATTTTGTTGTTGAATTGGTTGAGAAGATTGTGTATTAATTAGATTTTGTTGTTGAATTGGTTGTTGATTATGTGCATCTATTGGTTGTGGAGAAAAATTTCTATGATTTGTATGTGTTCTCTGTATTCCTTGTCTACGATATTCTTGAGTATTTGGTGCAAATATATCTGGTTGTAAGAAATCATCATCTGAGGATAAATAATCCATTTGATAAGATGTCTGTTTTTTATTTTTATTTTGTTGAAAAAATGGGTAATTTTCACTGCGATCCTGTGGAGGATTTGGTTGAAAATTTTTGGAATTATATTGGGCTGTTGGGTTATCCCAGTTTCGAGGTTTTGTATATTGGTTAAAATTCCTTTGTGGTTGGTAATTTGTTTTTGATGGATGTGTATAATTATAATTATGGTCTGCAAAGTTGTTTCTAGTGAATGTTTTGCGTGTTTTTGATGGTATTGTCATGGGTCTGTATGTTTGGTAATCCATATGTGAATATTTAGGGGCAACCGAAGGTTTAACGGTTGATTGTAAGGTTACCTGTGTTTGTGAAGGATTTGTATTTCTTGGTGTTGTTAAATTTGGGCGTATTGGTGAAATACTTTGTTGTGTAGTTGTTGTGTGTACAATTTCTTCATTTATGAAGTGTGATGGTGTCTGGATATCTTGTTGAGTAAGATTCCTAATTGAGGTTTTCATTGTGTATGACTGTAGAGTTTAAACTATTATTTTGTGTATCGGGTAAAAATGTATTATAGTTTAATGGAGTTGCATCAATTGTTAATGGTATTACTCTTACATAATCTCTTATGTAAGATATTGTACCTATTGCTTGACTTGAGATTGATTGTGGAAAGCTTATAAATGCGGGATGAGACCATTCGGGGTCCCAAACATAATCTGATTGTTCTGTGATAGCGGTATCATCGTTCGAATTTTGGGGTCTAAAATTTTTTCTTGCTTGTGCAATTAAATCAATATTGTGTGTGAAATAATCTATTATGAACCATGCTAAAATTTTTTGTAAATCGTGTTTGGTATGTTGTGAAACGTCGTCTTTCGTGAAATTTTCTTTAATGATGTTTAAATAACTAGAGAGTAGTGTGATTTCATGTCGTACTCTTAAGTGTTTAGATGTTTCTGTCGGTGAGACATTTGTTAATGGAAGTTCATTTTCTAATATCGAAATATAACTATATATTATTGCGAAAACTTCATTGGTGAATATGGAGTTTGCTCTTTGTGAGTTATGGTATTGGATGCTTTTTATATATTCTGAAAAAACTTTCGAAAATTCTAAATCAAGATCGTCTGTTTGAATAGTATATGTTCTATTATTGTGGTTTGGGGAGGTGAATTCTATAGAGTAGATTCCATACTGTTGTGTTATGTTGCATATATCTTTTAGATAGTGATCTATGATTTGTCTTTTGATTTTTACATCGGGGAACTCTGTTTTACATGGACTGATTCCGGGTTCAAATAAATTTACGAGTAAATTTTGACAAAATATGTGTTGTCCTCTATCAGTATCTGCGTTTACTATAAAGGGAAAGATTTCATCATCATCTGGAGTTTCGTCACCTGGGGTGTGTGTTGAACTCATTTTTTCGTTCGATGACTGTTAATATGTAATTATTAATGTGTCGAATTGGTTGATTCCAATTGTATAAATGTACTGGTTTGTGTTTATACTGTTTTTTTATTCTTCTTTTTCCTCTTTGTGATGAATTTGAAGTTGTTTCTGAGTCAGAAAAATATAATTGATCGTGAAGTGGGCAATTTTTATCTATTGATTCTTTTAGTTTGTAAAGTTCGTCTAAACTATTGGTTTCTGATTCTGAAAATGCGTTTCGATTTTTTGAAAATCTTTTTCGTGTTATTTGTCTTTGTTTAGTTATTATTTTCCTCTTTAGTGTTTGTCGTTTTGTTCGAATGTATCCAACTGTTTGTGTATGAGGTGTGATTACAAGGTCGTATTTTTTGTTATCTATTTCACAATTGTGTAAAATGATTGTTTGTTTATTTCCTAGGTTTTTAAATGACATAAGGTTTAGAATGACGGATGCAAAGGTTGTTAAATGATTTCTATTTTCTTAAACTGTTAGTTCTTACGATTTTTCGGTTAGCTTAACCTGGGTCTATTTGTTCAGGGTTGGAGAGAAAAGTATATCGATTCCGAAGAATGATTTTTACTTTCTCGTGACTAGTATAAGCTAAGGTGTTAACTTACTTAATCTTACTTAGGGGTAGTGATTGTGTTCAAGGGTTGGAGAATAGTAAATCGATCCACAAGGTTCAGGTATAATTAGAACGCGAGTAGTTCGTTAGATACTATTTTAAACTTACTAAGTCTAAGATTTATCCTGGGTCTGGTAAGAGGGGGGGGGGGGGGTCAAGTGAAGGATGAATAACCGAAGTTCTTCACTTTTTATCCTAATTTGAATGATTAGTTTTGTTCAAAAATTTCTATTAGTCTTGGGTCTTTAGAAAGGGTTGGGTAGTGAATCGACGTTTGAGGTCGTTAGACACTAATTAAGTGGGTGGGGGAGAACAAAGTTGTTCTGTTTGATCCAAGGATAAGCCTTGATGATCAAATTTAAAATTTAATTAAGTAGAAAATGATTTAAGATCCAAGGATAAGCCTTGATGATCTGGTTTTAAAATTAAGTGACTTTAAATTTTGATAAAGTTTTAAATTTGTGTAAAGGAAAAATTTAGTGTTTTGATGATATTAGTGAGTTGATGATTGCTGTTATGTTTTAGGTGATGAAGCTGGAACAACAGGATGATTTATGATTACTAACCATTTATTGTCATGCTACTAATTTTTATTTTTATTTTCCAATAAATATTTTTCAAACATGTTTTGTATATTACTGCAGAGTTTTAGGAAAACGATCTTAGATCTTTTTATCAATCGTTATTGTATAATATTAATTTTGTTTAGCGCCTGAAATGATTTTGAAGAGTAACTTCAAGGTTTTATGTTTGCAAATGGAAATCTAAATTCATTGCAAGTAATATTCGAAATATAAAAGTTTGTTCTGGCTTTTGCCGAACTATCATATAACTATACGGCAAGTTTCTACTTTGTCGTATGTCGTCTTTGGTTCGAGGTCTTCTTCCAATTCCGGGTAGTTCTGTTATGGTTCGGAATATTGGCTCTGATCTATTGAGTCGGAGAGACATTTCAATTAAATTATTGTCGTATAACATTTTGTAAATGTTTTTGTCTAATTTCTAATCTATTTTTGGTTAATTCTAATCTAGTAAGGTCTTGTTCGAGACTTATGGTCGCACCAGATGAGTTAGGACCGAAGTGTAACTCATAGAGTAATTTCGGATAGGGTACACCGTCTGCTCGTCACGCTATCTTATTTTCGGCCGGATAGATTCGTGCAACTTCTTAGTCTAATACCGATCCTAATCTTACTCTTATACTATCTAGTCTCAGGTTGTTTAACTAGTCTCTGCTAGGCTCAATAGATCTAGGGTATACTGGTTTATTGCGGCTGCTGAAGTGCTCGGGAGAGTCCAACTAATTTCTAAGTTAAATTCAAATCTCTCTGGTGCTGAAATTACAAGTAACTTCAGCACTTACAAATAAGTGGGTTGTTAGTTAGATGGATCATGATTGGTTAATATTAAATACTTTACATTGGTAAAACATTTAATTTATCCAATCATAAAATGTAGTTTAGATCAGGTTCCAAATATATCATTATTTGTTATATGAAATTTATTTAATAGTTATTTATTTAAATTAAATGGACAAAATAAGAAAATTCATTGAAAAAATGCGGTTTTTTTGGTGAAGGAAAATTTACTAATCATGTTTAGGGCCATCTACGAGGAGTTGAGCAAGATAGGATCACAAGGAGTGCTTCAGACCAGACTGGTTTTACAGAAGAAGATATGGGCACTGCTGAAGAGAATCGAAGTGTCAACTCACGCAAATGTGCAGGTGAGAAAATTATTTTCTTCTGATAACTTCAAGTTATCCCGATGGTTTTTTCCGATTTCCAAATTCCTTCGCATTTTGATTCCGCTGCAACTGATTTTAAACGAGAAAATTCAGTATTAACTTCTGCAGCGAAAAAGAAGTATTTGGTATATAATTATGGTGCATACAGTTCAAATAGTATCTATTTGGTGCCTTTCACTGTGATCATATTATCATGACTGTTATTTCGGGTTTCCAGTTACGGTGTTCTTTGCGCTTTCCAAATACGGGATACGGTGCTCCGCGCGATTCAATTAAGGAACATGAACCGATTTGAGTTCAGGATTTTTGATAGGCTAGCAAGCCTTTTTAGTCATAGTCGAATTATATTATTTTCCAACATTGCCGACTGAATTGTTTAATTGGGCTAGGCTTTTTTTTGGGACTTCAGGAGATAATTCGCATATACTTTAAATTTCAATATACGTTTTTTAAGAAAGCAAAAAAATTGTATTATCGATTAAGTGTTAATTCTGCATAGAAAAATCACTGCGAAACCTGCTGAAGCTTCGCGACAAGCTGATGCCTTATAAACGTACAATTTTTGGTATGAGTTTAAAGCTTGAAAATATAATTATTTTAAATTTATTTTCTCGGTGGAAAATTACGGTGGAAATTATTACGGTAAAATTACGGTGGAAAATTTATTGTTTTGTTTACTTAAAAAAAAGTATCGACAATAGAAATTGCCACTAGTAAACAAGGAGCCAAAGGCTCAATTAGTAATAGCTTTTTCGTGCAACTTGGGTTGAAAAGAAAAACAAGACTGCTCGTATCAAGGCGACTCCCTAAATGTTCCGATTGCCTTTTAATGTCTATTGAATAGAGTTAAATTTAAAATGATGAAATTTGCACTAAAATGGAAAAATTTAATTTATAATTTTTTTTTAATCATCTCCACACATGCTATATGAAGTACTACGAGATATTTTCAAACTACGTATAGTGTGATAGTATTTGTTGACATTTTTGAAAGAGCTACTGTTGTGCAAGTTAAAAGTGCTAATTTTGGTGGTTATTTAGAGTCAGGCGGCTGCGTTGACACTATAGTACCTTGTGCTTTGACATTTGATTGCAAAAAGTTAACACAGTTGAAGCTTCTTTGTTTCATCTATTGAAGCGAAAACAGCTAATTCTTTCATACAACAGAACAATAATAAAAAATCTTCAGAAATTTTCGAACTCTGTATATTTAGCAGAAGTTTCGAAAAGCATGTTTTTTTCATTGTTTGTTTCAACACTTTTAAATTAATTGCATGAAAATAAGTGAGGTTGTCTTTTTTATTACATTCCAAAATATTACATGCAACTTAAAGCTCCCGAATATTTTGCCGCTTTCTTTCTCGATTGTGTGTGCGATTAACTCGCAACGCTCACGCGTTAATCGCACGAAGTTTATCACGCGTTTATTGTCCCAAATTGGCAATCTTCACACTCTCTTACTTACGGAACATGATCACAGATTAAATATCTTTTTACTTTTGAGCTCAGGACAAAGATACCTTTTTGATTGTAAAAGAAAGTTCAGCCAAAAATGGCCAGTTAAAAAGTCGAAATTGGTCTGGACAAATTACATCACAGAGCACAAATTTTCCGCCCTTTTCTTTTTCGAAAAAAGTCCAAACATTTACTCGAGTCGTTAAAACGAGTGCGATATTCATAAGTTTAATTAGAGATAAATTGTATTCGGACAGTATTTAAATAATAAAGATTGGTTTTTAAAATTATATTTATTTAAAATTGAATCATATGCAAAATTAGTTTTCTAATTATCCGATGAAATTAAAATCCCTCGAGGCACTCATTTAGCTTGTTTGTTAGAATTATTCTTCAAAAATAATTTCAGGCAGGTTTTTTTCTGAAATGATGCTCTTTTTAAAAAAATTTCCACGCAAAAGCAAGTTTTGGAGCTTTTTCTTCTCCCAAACTATTTCGGACATTACTGTGCATGTAACGTTTACAAACACCGTCATTGGCATAGTAACAAATAACTAGCCAGCCAACATTTATGTATGGTTTTTTATAAACAAGGAAAGGGACCAATTTACGAGCTGTTCGGCTCTTTACGATGAACCACTGTTGTGCCCCAGGTTGAGAATTATATGCAAATTTTTGGTTAATTTTTGGCTGGGCGATGATGTCTCACCCTCAGTCAGACAGGTAACACAGATCATGCTGGGTCTCGAACCGCAGACCTTTGGATTGAGAAGCGTAGACTTAGCTACTTCACCAATTTTTCAGGCGTGGGAGAACACGTACAAAAAGTGGGACTCCCTTCACTCCCATCTGCTCTCGATTGGAGGTGCGAAACAGGACAAAACTAAGAGTGACAAACTGGGCAGTTGTGACGTCACTGACACGGCAGCTGCTGTCATCATCAACTACCACCATGGAAGTTATCTGCAAGGGGACAGAATGCAAACAGGGGGAGGGGACGGTGTCCCTAGACAGGTCAGAAGGCTTGAATACTTGTTCAGCACTGAATAAATAAATATTAAAGTGACATTTTTTCCAGAAAAAGAAACCCTCATGGTTATTTTCAGATTAGTCAGAATCTGACGCGATCAATATCCTCCAACCTCACTAAAAACAATAATTTGTAATTGGTTTAGTCAAAATTGAATGTTACTTTGAAAAGTTTTCATGATCTTTTGAAGCTTTTGATTGATTTGTCTGCCTAATTAGACCCGCTCAAATGTTTGTTTGAAATTGATTAAAATTGGACGATTTGTAAAAACTTTTATTGAGCTTTTTTTAACCGGGTCATCTAAATCTTTTGTGGAGAAAGTAAATTTTAGGTCTACGATCTGCTGCAAGAGTGGGCGAATATGACAGGATTTCTTTGTTCCATGAGTAGAGTGATTGTACCTGGTCACCAGACATTCAAACGCACACAAACCCAGCCGCCACATCACTCGCCTCAACCAGTTTGTGCCCAAACAATTTCAATTTTTTATAGTCCCAATAATATTATTTTGTTCATGATATCTGCAACATAATATTATAAATTCCAATGCACTTGGCATAATATATAAAAACTTGTTCACGCTCAAGTTTGAGTTTTCGCATTTTGAATTTTGATTTCTTCAAAGTTCAAAGAAAGTTCATTTGCTATAAGGAAAAGGATTTAAGCTCTCCAGTAATAAATGTGCAAATGGCGCGAAATATAGAAACGTGAATGACTTTCAGTTTTAAACAATTGAGTTTAGTTTTCAGTTTTATTTATGCTTGTTGACCCAGTTTTCTAGAATTGAGTTAGCTTTATGAAGAAATGTTGATCAGAAACGTTTTTTTAAAGTTGAAAGAGATTAAATAAGATAATTTTTCTCAAAAAAAAATTGAAAGTTGAAAATTTTTCAAAAAAAGTATTGTTTTTTTTTGTTTTCCTTGACTTTTTTCCCTCTATCTGTTGGCTATGTTTAATCTGTTCTATTCGACAAGTTTTGTATTTTGTATGTCTCACGAGTATTTCATTAGGTAATAAAAAAGCCGGAAGAATCATATTAAAAGAATTAAATTAAACAGTAGATGAGTGACTGCAATGAGATAATTGAAAGATATATATATCTTATATTAAGATCAAAAATTATGTTTTGAAAATCATTGTCTAAATTAAGCCCGAAAGAATTTGAAACCAGTCAAGTATATTGATTCGGACCAATGATATGTTTTTAAACCAGTGTTCACATATAAACCCAATAATATCACATTTCAATCAATTTTTTCACCAATCAGGACTGAACACAATTTTAGGCTTCGAATTCTCCTGGTGCTTCGAGTCAGACTAGTGCATCTGGGGCTGCAGGAAATCTCGGAAACGGCGGGTAAGCTCTCTTAGAATGACGTTAATTGAACCATCAACATTATAACCGAGCTGAAACCATACGCATTTATTTTAGAAAGTCATATATTTTTGATATTTAAAAGTCGTGAGCGTCAGGAAAACAGTCAGGAACGTCATAAACGTCTTTTATTTTTTCACGCTCAATTTTGATTTTTCGAGCTTCGACTTTTGATTTCTTTTCAAACTCACTTCATTTCCTTTCATTTCATTAAAAGGAAGGCAAAACTCCTCCGTTGAACACCAAAAGTATAAAGGTAACGAAAAATCTGATTGACTTTTTTTTCGAAAGTAGATTTACATTTGCAGATTTCCCAGCACAATTGAAAGTTTAACTATTGATCCAGAATTTTCTAATTGGGTTAATTTTATCTAAAAATTTACAATCTTAAATTATTCTTGAAGATTGAAAAGTTTAAGGCCATATAATTTTTTCTTTGAAAATTCGAAAGTCGATTTTTTTTTCAGAAAAGAAGTCATTGTTTTTTCTGCTTCCTTGACCCATTGAACCTTTTCTAAAGTTGGCTGTGTTTATTTTTGAACTAAATTTGAATTTCGTTTTTGAAAAACTTCAAGTTGCCAAAAACTATCATGAAGTTTAGCATTGGGAAAAATTTTATTATGCTTATGATCACATTTTTTTTATCTTATAAAGTTATTCGACATTGTGCCGTTACTTGACTTGACTGCAAAATCGCATGAAATTTAAAAATATGAAGCGTAAATGGAAAAGAACTAATCCATTGATTAATTCGACAAACAGTCATTTTTTTCTGTTCATGACTCTTTCCCAAATGTCTATTGGCTACAATTTTGAAGTTTTCTGAAAACGATGCGCTATGTAATTTAGAAAGTGATGTATTTAGCATATAGCAAAGTATAACATAGACCAAATAGGATGCCTCTGTTCAGTTTTTAATGAACTTTCAGTTGAATTAAATATCCGTTACGCCTATAACGCACCACATATATCGCGCGTTGTTTGCCCAAATTGACCAATTTGGCAATCTTTATTCCTACAAAATGATCACCGGCGATATATCTTTTTATTATTGAGCTCAGGACCACAATACCTTTTTGGATGATATCAAACAATTTCGTGAAAAGCTGTTAATTAAAAAGTCGAAAGTTATCTGCAAAAATTACTCCGAGCTTAAATAATTGTCTTTTTTCAGAAGTTGCAACAATTACCGCCAGTGGTTGAGTCTTTTTCTAAAAACCGGAAGTTAATTTAATCAAACACTCTTCTAGCAAATTAAGTGTTCAAACATACTTTTCAACCTTATTTTTACCGCTCGGTAAATGATTCCCTTGGTTAAAGAATCCCATTGCGTTTTAAGGTTGTCAATGAACAACATCCAATACAAACATGAAAGATTTTTGTAGAGATTGTTTTTCGACTTTTTTCAAGTAATTTTTTGAGATATGCTTTTTCAAAAAATTTTAGATTTTCGTCTCTTTTCTATTCACTATCTTGTAACGCAATGTTTCCGTTGTATCGCAAGTGTTGCGAAGCTTTAGTTTGCCTCTGTGTTAAATAATACTTTCAGCAATATGATTTCAGAAAAAGTCTATAGCTGCGGACTGTAAATTTGCGGACTCAAGTTTCAATTCAATTTTTCCATTTTCAGAGATGGCTCTCCCAACATGGTGTGCTCGTCGAGTGCAGTGGCAGCTCAGTTCCCATTGGTTCAGTCAGTGGCCAATCACAATTCGACTCAGTCTGCTTCTGGAAGTACTAACTCAGTCTCACATTTGGCAGGTAAAAGAACACTCACGCGCCAATTCCTTTTACGTTTCTTTTCAAAAGTAATGAAACGCTCTGACAAACCGAATTAATTGAAAAGGGCATTGTGCTAAGTTTGAGCATAGTCTCATGTAAACTTGCAGTTTCCAGTAACCCTGAGACATAAATTGTCAAAAGAAAAAATAATTATTGCTAGCAAAAGTTTCTGTATTCAGTCAGTTGCTCATTTTAATTGATTCTGCTTGTCCACTCGTTCTGCTACTCTTTTTAGTCCGATAGTTCAACAGTAAACAGGGGATCCGGAACTTTAATTTTATAGGATTTAATTACCAAAAAAAACAACGTCTCAGAACAGTAAACATATTTTGTTTCTAGCCATGATACAACGTTTATTCATTATAAATTCTTTTCTTATATACTTTTTTCGCTCTTAAGTTTAAAAAAAATGAAAATTTTAGCAAAAAAACATATTTTTACGTGTTAATTCGCCCTAAAAAACTCACAACTGCGTAAATTTTAGCAAAAATAGATGAAAAACGAGCAAAGTGTTGGTTTATGCGTTGATAAGACCAATTTGATATGGTTTCTGTACTTCTTTTTTGCTTACTTTTTGGCTACCAAGAAATGTTTGACTTTTTACTACCGAAAAATTTTACTTTTCCCCCACTCCCTGTTCATAGCGTAACAACTGAGTTTTGGTTAAAAAATGCTAATTTTCAACCTAAATTTTCAAAAGTTAACGATTCCAATTTCGTTTAGTTTTGCGTAAATGGAAAAAAGCTAAGTCCGCTCCACCCCACCACAGCAAGTTATCACACATCAGAATATCAAAAAAATGGTTTAATATATTTTTCCAGAGTGAGGGGGACTCTAATCGGAAAGAGCCGAAATTTGTTTGCTTCAAGCTTAACCGTTGCTTAAGAGTCATAAAAGATTCTTGAAATTGTTTGAAATTAAAGGTGGTATATTTTGATTTCGTTGAATTTCAAAAGCTGAAAATTAATCAAAAACTTCTATTTTTTTTTGTTTTTTGCTTCAACGTGGTCATTTTCACTTTTCAGACCAATTGAACAATCATCCCCCTGAAATCAGTATGAATTCTTTTTCTGTCATTCACCGTTCCGTATTTCGAGTTTACCTGAATGTGACATCTAATTTTATGGAGGCGAGCGTTTGGTTCAATAGGATTTGGGGAATTTAGTAGAAACAGTCCACTTGTTTTAAAAATTTTCTGCGATTTTCAGAGCCTTCTCGAAATTTGGTGACACTGACAACTCAAACTCAATTTCATTGCTATGCAATTTTAACGTTATTTTAGCTATAATTGCTTCACTTTCTGCAGCTCTCTACCTTAGTCAGCCGCCCTTTACAAAAAAAGCAACATTTTGAAAAAATATATATATATTTTCGAAAATATTTTTTCGATTTAAAATTTTTCCCCCTCATTTTCGACTTTCTCTGCCTAGTTTATCGTGGTTGAAACATTCTTTGCTACTTGCAAAGCAACTGGCATTACCTGTTGTACTCAAAATTTTGTTTGCTTTCAGGCTCGACTTCAACCATCAGTACTATCTTGACAGTTTCATCAGAGAACACAGCACTATTGCAGCCCCACCATCACTCCCTATTCCCACACGCACCCCAGCAAACAAACAACTCCTCGAACTCCTCTCAACTGCAGACACAACAAGGTGTAAACAGCAACAACGGCAATAATAACAACAACAACAACAGTAACTTGTCTGTTGGAGGTGTTAATTCAGGTACAAATTCAAGCCAAAAATATTTTAAAAAACTATATAATAATTAATTTCAAACTTGTGTTACCCAAAAGATTAGATTTGAGATTTGAAAATAACAGGATTGCAAAGAAGTTATTCACTCATTTGTTCTCAATACTCTTTACTGTTTCTAAATACGTTAGTTAAGTGAACTAAAATATACCGTTTGTATGATATATAAAATATACAAAAGTATGAATCCAAAATATGATTGTTTGCTAATTGAAACACGGAAGATTCAAGTTCCAATTTTCAGGCGCGATGTCGGGAGGCGGCGTAGGACAGGGAAACTTGACAATTCCATGTCCTAGTAGTGTACTCGGGTCACCCTTGATTCCACCGATTTATGCAAATAGTTGGGGCTCTACTATTTCTCCTAACAAGTGAGTGTAAAATGATGTTAGATTTTATGTATAGTTTTCTGAATGGATGGGATCATTTGTCATATTGAAATTCGTGTGTTTTTTCTTCTTTTTTTAAGTTAAATACCTGAAATTTGTTAGAATTTTTTGTTCGACCATTTGAAAAATATGGAGGAACTTTGTATTCGTGTTTAATTTTTTTTCTACATCGAATGATCAGGTACCAGAAAAAAAAATTTTCCACGAAAAATCAGGTACCATAAAAAATAATCGGAATTTGTCGAATGATGTACCAAATTGAAGCCCTTTCAGTCGTGATTTGAACGACAACAAAAACTTTTCAAAAAGTTTTCTCAGTCTCGAGAAAATTTGGTTTAAAATTTTTGATTTTAATTTCAATTTTGAGCGAATAAAACGATCTAGTAGGCTTACATACTAATGCTGCTTAATTAAAGCCCTGAAAACATATTTTTAAGCAATTTAAATTATTTTTTGGAGATTTATAGCGCCATTGGGAAAATTAAATATACTTACTGAAAAACAATTTTTGATTTTTTTGTTCTAGTAATTTTTCTACAAAAATGTTTTTTCAATTTGCTTATGTTTTTATGACTGTCGAATGTGTCTAGTTTATAGTTTTACTGCAGATCTTTTTATCGCACCACGCAGAAAAAACACTAATTTGAAAAAAAAACTTTTAGTTTTTTTTATAGAATATGGTCGAACATTCTGTGCTACTTGCACAGTAACCGGCTATCCTTGTTTATTTTAGTTTTTGGTCTGGCGTCTGATATTTTGTCTTCAGGTGTTTTTATTTTGTTTGCGCCGCGCATAATCAGTTTGCGCAGGTAATCCTCATAATGGGGTGATTGCTATATCTTATTAAAGCCTTTTCACTCAGGGATAGATCAAACTGAAAAAAAATCAAGAAGTATTTTTCAGTGTCGAAAAAATTGGTTTGAATTTTTTTTATAACTTAACTTGAAGCAATTAAAACAAGCGAGTCGATGTTATGATGAAAAAGTTTTCATTTAATCAGTCAAAACTTAGTTTTTGGGGCTTCATTTAGCGCTTCTTTGACAATAAAAATTTTGTTTCTCATAAAATTCAATTATCTACGCTTTTCAGAAAGTTCAAAAGGTTTCTGGGTAATTGAGTTTAAAGTACAGCTTCGCATCTGTTTTCAACTTATGATATCACTTGAATCTCGATTTTCAAATGCGTTTAGCAAATGAAAATAAGATTTGGCTTGCCAACAACTATGCAAATGGCGTCAATAAACGGATTGATTTAGTTGCAAATATGGATTTATTTTCGAGACAATCCCAAATAAAAAAAACTAGGATAACCGGTTGCTGTGCAAGTAGCAGAGACTGTTCTCACAATATTCTTGAAAAAACACCTAAAAAAGTTTTTTCATGTTTTTTCTTTTTTAAATTGGTGTTGTTTTTGTGCGTGGTGTGATAAAAAGATCTGAGGAGAACCTGAAAATTAGGTATAATAGACTGTCACAGTTAGGCAAATCAGGCAACGGTTTTTGGTGTTTGAATCGCAATTCAAAAAAAAATCAATTGTTTTCATATATTTTTTAGAAATTGTTTTAGATTTTTGAGGTTTTTTCTTTCCAAAGTAGCGCTGAAAACCCTGAAATTTTCAAAGAATATTTTTATCAATACTTCATTAGCATTTCGTTCTATAGTGTTTGTTCTCGCTTGCTTTATCATTTGTTTATCATCTCGAAATTAGACAAAAGCTCAAATTCAAAAATTTCGAACCGGTTTTCATCAACACTGGGAGAACTTCTTGGATTTTTCTAATGTCGTTCGAAGCAAAATTGAAAGGGTTGTAATAAGATATATCATTTTCCCCTTACGATCATTGTTTGTGGTAAATTTCTTGGTTGAAAAACAAATTAAGCTCGAAATTAGACCAAACGTCAAAAATTTCAAATTGATTGCTCTCGACGTTGAGAAAAAATTTTGCGTGGAAAAAAACATCTGATTACATAGTTCAGAGTTTCAATGGACGGAAGAATTACCTTTTGATTCAACCTTCTCTAATTGGCTTATCAAAATAGTTTCAATCAGAAATGAATGTTGAAGGTAATTAAGAAAGTATTTGCTCGTCAACGGAAAAAGTGGAGTGGCGCAAGCGCTTGCCGTTTTGTTTCAAAACTCAATTTTGACTTCGAAATTTAACAAAATTTATCTAATGATCCCCTTTTTTTTACCCTTGCGATAAACAAGGGTATTGCAATCAGGTACTAGACTTTTCCCCCGTTAATAACTTTAGGCACATATTTCGCAGTGAAATTGTTACACGTGGTTTACTGGAGAGGTAAATGTAGTGGGTGTATGTTAGGCATGGGCCTTGTGTGCCTGTTTTGAGTTCCTTTAATCGTATTTTTGTGTCGAAATTTTTCGGTTTCTTTTCGGCGCGTGAGTGTCGGCTTCAGTTCCGTTGTTTTGTTTTCCGGATGATTTTTTTAATTACCTCTTGTTTTTTTTTCGTAAAAATGGTTTGTGTTACAATATGTAGTGGAAAAGTCTAAAACGTTTTCCCAGATTCTTTTAAAGAAATTTTTTAAATGTTTTTCAAACGCAATTCATTCGTATATTTTTCTGAAGATTTTCTAGGACAGTTGAAATTGTGTTAATCGCTTTTTAGTCCAGACTGTTTTGAAAAGTAGCTATTTCATTCGAAAAACGAGAACCATGTAAGCCTGAATTGCCAACAAATCAAAAAATTTTAAATTGAAGATTTTTGATAATCTAAATGAAAATTGCTAGAGGAGTTCATCGTTTCGCAATGTCAGGTTGAGTTGCTGTCTGCTAAGTTTCCTAATGCATTTGTTGAGTTTCTCCATTTTTGAGTAGTTTCAACAAAATAAAAAATCAGTGAAATTTCTGTTTGCTAATGAAAAAAACTTCTCTTTTGACGTATAGTTAATTTTGTTCGGTTTTCGGGCGTTGATCCGTTTTCAAGTTTTGTTCTTTGTAGCTTCAGGGAGGTGACCTTGAAACTTAATCAATTTTTTAATCAGTTTTTTTTCGGTGCAACAGGTGTCTGCTCAAAGATTGTGGTCTTAGCCACATCACTAATTTTTTTCTTGTTTCCATATCCTTGTAACTGAAAGCGCAGGTGTTGATCATTCTAGTCTCAGGTGGGACTTAAAACTGCAAAGATTTTTTCATGAAATCATATTTTTTCTGCTGAACTTGTGTCTGCTCGAAGTTTTCGCTTTTGTTTCTTCTTCGTAAGTTTTGTTCCGTTGCTAATTTTTTACTCAAATTTCTGGCATGTTAGACTAGAATGAACTTCTATCGAAACATAGAAGTTTGGTTCGAATATTTTTTTCAACGTTTTCCATTTTTTTTTCTTGTTTTTTATGTGTGTGTTCAATCGGAAGTAGTGCGAAGCTCAGTTTCGCTTATGTGTTCAGTACGTAGCTGTGTCCAAGCTATCTTATCTTCAATTGATGTTCAGTTGAAACAGTTTTTTGTGAGAATTGTAGTTTTTTTGTTGAAACATCTATTTTTTAGATTCATCACAGACCTCCTTTCTATCCTGTTCTGCAGCAACGAGAAGATAGGAATTAAGATGAGGAAAGACGTGATGGAGATGGTCGGCACTCAGTTGAGCCATGCTCTGGTCCCCTACTTGTTTGAAAACATGACGCAGCAGGTTTTGAAGTTCTTCGACCACGGGGGATCGGTTAGTTAGCTGTTTTGAATTCTTTCTGCTAAAATTTTTGTGTTTACGTACAAAACTATGATGATAGTTGCCTATAATAGTAAAAATTTTCAGTAGAAATTTTCTAGAATTTTGAAATTACTAAACTCAGTAGCATGCCGAGGCGGGAAATATCTGCATTTTTGGTCAAACCTTTCAGAAAGTTGCCCACAACCACTTTTCTAGTCTGTTTCATTTTCAAAAATTTCCCTGCAGCACAGACATTTTTGGCAAAAAAAGTGTCATTATGATGCTTTTTTGGGGAATGGAAAATGTCTTTGGTCGACCGAAAACACAAAAAAGTTTCCAAAAATGAAATATTGACAAAAACTAAACTTAAGCCCTTGTGTTTACCGTATATTTCCATATAAGCTCTGAATTTTTAATTTGCTCAATGTATAATTTCTTTATGATAATTTGTTGCAGGCTATTCAAAATGAGCTGAACACTCAATTTGCGGACCACCTGATTGACATTTTGGGCAAAGTGTTGGTCACTCATCATGATGACGCATCCGACAGTTTTGGGTTCTTCTCAGTGGAGACCCTAATGCTCTCTCTGGCCAAGTTAGTTCCAGTGGGCTTTTTTCTTGAAATATGGATCAACAGTGGCAACATTTTCAATCAATCAGCGTCTTTCAAACTGTCTTTTAGAGTGACTGATTTTCCAGTTCAATTGTTTAAGATAAAGGTTCGAATACTGAGTTCCGTTTAGCTAAATAATTAGGATTTCCCTGGTGCTTCAACCATTAAGTGCATATTAATTTATGTTACTGAAAGTCTACCTCACGTTTAGTATTTAAAAGCTCAATAATAAAAATTCTAGTTTGATTAGAAAAAACTCGTATGTCGTAAAATAGTACCAAATGGATAAAAATTTATTGACATTACATTAGTATGTTTCATTAAACAGATAATTCGAAAATAATATAACAAAGTACGAATTTTAAAAACTAGTCTCCAACTAAAGATCAAGTTTAGTTCAAACTAATGACTCTGAAAGCTAAAGTAACCTTATTTTTTGTGGTGGACTGTATTAAATGATTCTTCCTTTGGAACTTCTTTTCCAACATTAGCTGAAAAGTGATTTCTAAAAATGCTGGTGAAGAAAAAAAAAGGCCATTAAAAATTGAAAATCAAACAATATTGATCAAACAATATTGATTGTAGAATTTTTAAACAAATTGTTTTCATACAATTCCTTAACTGTAGGAAAAATCAAGAAAATACCTATGTTTTTTGCGCTTGAAAAATTCTTATGAAGTCTCGGCAGCTATATATGGAAAATTCGAACTATATATGTGTAGAAATTCGAATGAAATGGTCGATATGTTTTTTCTACCTGGCGGGATAGGTTTGTGCTTTTTCCCAATCCGCCTGTTGTTTTTTTTTCTGAATTACTGATTCCAACGTGCTATTTTAAATAGTTTTTGTTGTAATAAAGCATACTGAAACTTGGTGTGAATATACAGTTTTCTGAAAAACATTTTTCAGAAAACTGTATAATGCAATTTTTCATGGGCATGGGAAACTGGAAAAAACTTTTTTTTTTCCGAATTCATGTAATTTTTTGTTTTTCGCTGCAGGTATCTGCGTACCCTGGATCACAGTCTGGGCAGACACATAGTGATGAAGAAGAAGTTCTGCTACATGGTGGAGAAGATGATGAAGAGGAGAGATGACCTCAGTTTGAGACAGGAGATGAAGTTCAGGCAAGAGATCAAATCAAGCAAAAATAAACTATCTCAAACTATTTTGATTGGCCCTAGAATTAAGTCTTCGTGGTCAACTAGAAGAAGCTACGAGATAAATATTAAAAAATTTAAATCCGAAATAATGTTTTGTGTGAATTCAGGGGCGGATCTAGGATTTTCTCGAGGGGGGGCGGAGTTTTTTAGGTCAACCAAATTGATTTTCTGAGCTCTCCCACAGCACTGAATAGACCTTGTTTTGGCCAAAGTTTCTTCCACGCAGGCAAAATTTTGAAAAAAAAAATAGCCAAAAAGGCATTTTCGGCATTTTCTGGAAATTTTTGACGAAAAAAATCGCGTTTTTTTTGGCGCTTGCTCCCTCCTCAAAGCTAGTATATATTGGTGCGAAAGGAGCCAATTTTTATGGTGCGCCACCAAAAATAGATGTACCCCCTAAATCCGCCTCTGAGAGAATTGGTGATCACTGTTTTATACTAATCTTAGGAAAAGACTGGTCGATTGGTTAATATGGGGGGTTCCGTTACAATATCTGATAGGGAAGAGTCATTACTGGGTACTAGGGGGATATAATGAAAGATATTCAATTTTATTTTTAAGGAATAAACTGGTGGAATATGTGGCCGACTGGGTTCTGACTGCAAACAGAATCAGACACACAAACGAAGAACTCATTCTTCTCTCAAGGTCAGTCATTAGAGTCAAACTGCATCAAAACTGCTTCTCACGTATAGCCGGGGTTGACATTTCAGCGCTGATCACCACTGATTCAGCAGTATCTTCTGATAGTATAATTTGCAGTTCTGACTCATAAATAATTCATCGAAAATTACGGCAATCGATTTATGACTAGCCGATTATGTTTCATCAATCAGAGAAAATTCAGTGGTGAACTTTGTCAAATTGAGTTCTGGTGCCTAGGTTATAATGGGCCACTTAACACTTTGCTATTATCCATGGCAATCAGTTTTTTTATCTGCTTTTCGGAATATGGCCTGCAAAGATTTGAAAATATAAGACTAGCGAGCTGCATAAAGAAGCAAATATAGCCGGTTACTGTGTAAGTAGCTCAGGATGTTTCGACCATAGTCTTTAGAAAACTACGGCTTAGAAAGTTTTTTCCAAATTGTAGTTTTTTCTGCTTGGTACGATAAAGGATCACACCAAGCAGAAAAAATATAAAAATATGAATTAGGCATATTTGACATATGTCTAAATATAAATTAAGCATATTAGACAGTCATAGTAATATAGGCAAATTGGACTAATTTTTTTGGAAAAATGACTTGACAAGTTAAAAAAATACAAAAAATTCCCAAAATGAAGCTGAAAAAACTCCAAAAACTAGATTTACTTGCTTAATAGTCATTTTCAATGTCTTAGCTTAGGTAGAATTCAGCTGCTGTAAGCCTGCTCGCTGGTTTTATTCGCTCGAATTAAGACGAAAAATCAAAAATTTCAAACCGGTTTTTCTCGACCCTGGAGAAACTTTTTGTTTTTTTTAAGTGGTTTGAATCACGATTGAAAGGGCTTTAATATGATATATCACTCAATCCAGTCTGATGATTGTCTGTGGTACCTGATTTTGCGTGAAAACAAAAAGGAAAAAAACTAAAGCACCCAAAAACAAAGTTCCTCCCTTTTATCAAATGGTCAGTTCAAATAAAAAATTCCTCCCCATTTTTCAAATGGTTGGAATTATTACAGGAAAAATTATCCGAAAAATCAGTACCAATTTAGAGATAACTCGCGGTTTATTGTTCCGACCATTGGAAATGGGGAGGAAATTTGTATTCGAGTGTGTTTTAGTTTTTTTCCACGTAAAATCTGGTACCAAAAATAATCATCGGAATGGGTCGAGTGATATATCATATTAAAGTGATTCGAACGATATTAAAAGCTTCGAACGAGTTTTTTTTTCACAGAGTCGAGAAAAATCGATTTGAAATTTTTGAATTTTGGTCTAATTTCGAGCTAATAAGGTGAATGTGTATGCTTACAATAGCTTATGTAAGCTTATTTTAAGCCGTGAAAACTTAGTTTTACTCATGTATCCTTGTTTTTAAACGATGAGTCAGCGATGCTTGCGCGCTGATTCATCGCTTGGTTTAAGTGCTGATTCATTAATTTTTAGACAAGTTGGTAACAAGTTATTGATCTAACCCTGAACATGGAATGGCAAACACACAATTTGTTCAAAAAACACAATTTTTTCAAAAGTGAACTCAAGATTTAAAAGGTTACTTTGAAACTCTCAGCCGAGATAAAATTAATTTGCAAAGAGTTTTCTTGAAATTTCGCTGGAGAAGAGCCGATATCAACTTCGGCCAAAGTTTTGCTGTAGTTTCTAGGTCAAGGTGTCTGTAAAAGGTGTCAGGTCACGGAAATCTTAAGAGTAATTAACTTCGAAGTTTTAGTTGCTCGAAATATTCTTTTGCATTTCAGTTCTACTGGGAATCAACGTGTTCTGTTATGTCCGAAAGGAAGATTATTAATAATACAAATATCAAAAGAATTGTTTTTCTTCTTTTATACTTTCTATCCTGTGAAACTTCAATCCATTCAGCTCCGTTTGAGCACTTCAAAAAAAGGAGAAAAGCATATCAAAAGTGGGTGTTGAACCGTTTTTTTTTAATTCGCCGAAATCGAGTCTCATTGTTTCTCAGATTTGACAATTTAACCTTTAATGAGGACCATCTGGTTCACTCTTATGTAGATCACTCCTAAACAATTTTCTCAGCAAATTAATTTTTCGTACTAAAAAGATTCATCTCTGTTTTCGTGATCGAACGAATGGTTTTTGGAGACATTTTGATAAGGCTCACTTGAATGTCTTTTCTGGTGGAGCATTGTATTGTTTTAGTGAATTAGCCTCTCAGGTCTAAAGTTCATTTTTATCGAGATGTTTTATAATTCCTTCCCAATCTTTCATTTTTATGCCGAGCATTATCGCACATCTTTTTTATTATTAATTCGTGATCGTCATTTGAAAATTTGAAAATTTTCTACGAACTTGCTATCTTTAGTTGACTGTTACAAAACGAATTTGCCAGCGTAGCTGCCTATATCGATCGGTACAGCTGATTTCAATTTTTTTTATTGATTCACCATGAATCAACGAAAAATTGCCTTTTTGCTGCCTGATATCTAAGAATAAGTTATTCGTGAAAGTAATGTAAGTCTAGACTCGTGTAAGTCAAAGTCGTGTATAAGTCGTTACAGAAAAAAACCTCTTAGTATTATTAAACAAATTTTTTTACAAGGTATGTTTTTGTTCTATTTTCTTTTTGAAAGCTCCTGTTTGCATTTGTTTGTTTGTATTTACTTGTATGTATATACTTTATAACTACTTGTCTGAGAAAGGGTAACCAATTAAAGGTATCTATTGCTTGTTGGCTATCCTCTTTGGTGCTAAAACTCCATATATGCTCGTATATGCACTGAATAAATTTATTGTTATTATGATTATTATGCTTATTATTGTTCCGATTTTCGTAACGGAATATTTGTGCTCGGGTTGCTTTTTTCAGAGAATTTTTCGACTTTTTAACTAGTCACTTTTGACGGAATTATTTAATATCGTTCAAAAGGTATTGTTATCCTGAGCTTAAATTTTGAAAAGATATTTCACCTGTGATCATTTTTTGTTAGGTTATGGGGATTTAAAAAAAATACCATTTTGGCCAATTTGGGACAATTAACGCGCGATATATTTCGCACTGTTAACGCGTGAGCAGAGATTTAATCCGTCTTAGAAATTGTTCCAATTTGGTTGAAGGAAGCTTATTTGCCATAATTGATTTGTTACTAGGAACGAAATCTATCACTGTGCTTTTTATGGCGTGTGGAGGGATGATTTTATTACATTTAGTTTTTTTCATGTTATTACTGCTCCATACACCTTAAATATGAGTCGGAACATTCAGGGCTTCGTCCTGATACGTGCAGTTTTGTTATTATTATTAGCGAAAAACATCTTCGCCTCGCCAATATTCTAGCCAATAAAATATTGGTTATTTATATATCATCAATATTAAATATATTAATGTGGAAAAGAGCTAATCGATTGATTAATTCTTTAAATTTATTATAGGGAGTTGGATGAGGCGGCCATGACAGCAGTGGCTGCTCTGTTGTATGGACTTCCTCTTCAGAGCGAGGAGGCAGACGGAGGAGATGTCATGGAGGCCAAGAGCAGACTCTTCCAGGTCAGCAGATATCAATTATACTTTTTTTATTCTGAAAAGTTGCAGACTTAGTGATTGAACCCTCTCACCGCGCAATGGTTCCAGCTTTGCTACTATTTTACAACATTTATTTTTAGTGGGAGACAATCCACACTTATTTTGAAAGAGGAGAAGTTTGTTTGTTATGTTGGTTGTAATTTTACAAACTCCGATTTCAGTATATCAGTTTTTTCTTATTTGGCTTACAAAGTTTCGGCATAATATATTGGTTTGGAGGCCTCTCTGAGTCGCTTGATGAGCAAAAAAGTTTTATCGAAATGTTTTGAGGTGAGCAGTCGCGTTGCGCACAAATGTTTCTAGGAGGGGTGGTTTTTAGAAAGAAAAATTGTTATTCCGAGCTCTGAAAATTTTAGAAGGACCCTGTTTTGTCAAAAAACTTCTCTCGAGAAGGCACTTTTTCAAAAAATTTCACCAAAAATTGCAATTTTTGGGCGCGCTCCCCCCACCAAATTTAGTTATATGGCGCCAAAGACGCTTCATAAGGTTGGTCAGCCAAAAATGGATGTCGTAAATTTATACCAAGGGAGAGACGTTTTGGAAAAATTTGGCAACCGGAATTCAGGGAGGGGTTTTCTAAGTTTTTAATGTTTTTGTAATATAAACATTTTTTTTTGCTCGGCCAAACAGGTGTCGGAATTATCGGCTTTGTAACAGCTTTTTAGGTTTAGCGATTTCTGAGATCTCTTTAAACACTAAAAATACTTCATTTGGCCTAATGTGCGTATGCGGCTCTGCCAGGTTATGAGAAATTATGCCAAAACTGTTTTGAGCCACCAATTGCTGACATTGCAAATTGTTACTACAAAGTGACTCTTTTGGGTGAATCAGTTCGTCAAATTGATGATGTGGGATGTCCGTCTTTTTCTTGCCAGTGCCCCCCCCCCCCCCCCTCCCACACGCTCAGACACACACACACATATGCACACTAAATCCGCCGCAGCAGATATGTGACAGTTTTTACCGTGTCTAGCATATGCAAGCTTCACACGTTGTCTTTTATTTTTAAAGTAGCGCCCTTCTAAATATGCTACATTTAATCATAAGTAATAACAGTAAGTTGGTTATCAATGTACGGAATTACAATATGTGAAGATTCATCCATATCTTTTCAGAAATACCTCTCGCTCTTCATGAACCTACTGAATGAGTGCTGCAACCCCCAGACCAATCTAGGGGTTCCAATTGGGATGGCGATGGGGGGACACCTGAATGGAGGTCATCAGGGAAATCTGCACCATCACCACCATCATCACCACTTGGGGGGTTTAGAAGGCAAGTCATAATCTCATTATCAACATTATAATTTTCGTTTCTCATGCATCTTATATAAGTTTTTTTTTAAATCTTACTGATAGTGAAAACTATCCTATGATTTTTAAATTCACCTGCACGCATATCCATGGGACTAAAAATGTGCCATGAATATAAATATGCAAGGAGTAAAAATCTGCCATGAGTATAAGTGCACAGTTTTGCTAACCTTGTTTTTTATGAATTTCTTATTCAGTTCTTCGGATGAATCCTAATGGAAATTCTTAACACTAAAAACTAAATTCTTCGTCAAGAGTCAAATTCTTGTTATTGAATTACGTTATGTAATTACAGTTGTTATACTTGGTCCTAAAGTCCATTTTGTTTTCTACTTAAATCTTCCATACACTGTATTTTATATCTTTCATCTGTCCAATCAGGCAACACGAATCATTTTAATCTCACTCGATGAAATCCTTTTCCATTCATCGCCATCGTAGTATGTCATTTGTGTACCATTACCTGTGTCTGAAATGGTTTTGTTTCCGTTCAAATTCACGGCCTGACAATATCCATACCACCAACCGCCTCCTCCACAAATTGCAGCACAGTTTCCGGTTTCATCTTTGTCCTGATCCCTGTCAGCAGTAGAAAACGCCATTCCGTTGTGGTAATCAAGACCATAACCTGTAACACTGGTGTTGCGTATGTTCTCACTATTTTCCACCATTGTGCCAAATGTTATGCTGTAAAGCGGAGCAGAACCGATCCTGAAGTCTGAAAAACAAGAGTTTAACCCACTTGGAACTGCACTTAGGTTTTTCTACTCAAAATGTGCTGAAAAGTATTCTTCAAAATATAACAGTAAAAAATAGGTTGAACCTTACGATGCTGTTAATCGCGTTTTTGTTTCGAAATTTAAAAAAAATGTTTGACCCCTTCATCGCAGCTACAAAACTTTGGCGGTAATTTTCCCTTTGCCTTAAACACATTGTTATAATTCTTAAGCTTATTTTCAACACGCATATGCAAGGGAGTAAAACTATGTAAAAACTTTCCGTGAGTAAAAATGTTGCACCTATGAGAACAACTCCAATGGTTAAATAGTAGACTTTTTCCGAGCCCTGTCTCAATTAAATATTTGTAGTTGCGAGGCTTGATTTGACTCTTGTTTTGCTGTTATTCCAAGTAACAGAAGATATGGGGTTAAAAAAAATTGATCGCTTTGTTTGGCGTCAAGGATTTGGTTGGTAAAACTAGAAATTTTTGCTGTTTTCCTGTTAAAAAGTTGATGGCAATTTTTTGCCTGTTGTTCTTTGTCCTGATGGCCTTTTTTATCATTGATGAGTGGGTCGTTTGACTCAAAAAAAGGCAAGAACCTTGGCCTAAAAGACAATAAAACCCTTTGTTTCTGTGATTGTATCCGTCAGTGGGATACGAGAAGGTGTGTTGCAAGAGCTTTTATTTGAATTTTTTAAGAATATTGTAAAGAGTTTAGCTAACAGTCATTTCAAAAATGTTTTTTTTTGACACCTGAAAAATAGTTTTTTGGTTAGTCTTGATGATAAAGATTGAGCTGCCAATCTAGAAAGATCGATGATATCAATGACTTTTGGTGGCAATTTTAAAAGTCAATAAACCAAAAAAGATACTTTTTTATTTGATACATTTTTTGTTTTATTTTTTTTTTTTAGTTCATGCGAGTCTTGTATCATTTTTAAATGTTTTTGAAAGATTTTGTTTCAAGAACTTGCGCTTGAATTGTTCTGGGTTTATTTCAGAGGTTAAAAATCAATGATTCGACCCAATTATTATGTTCGTTAGCAAAAAACTGATTTCGATAAGGTATAAAAATGCACTTAAACAAATTTCTAGATCTATATGCTCATTAGCTTAACAAAGCTTTGTTTTTGTTTTTGGGTGAAATCAATTTACCATGGTTTTTTTTCAGTCGTTCTTTTTTTGTATTGCAGCTTTATTTGAGACAGCTGTTTGACGATGACTGATATATCTTTTTTACCTGTCCACTCGCCCCAAAAAGACGCATTGTCTGAGAATTGGCGCATCGAAATGCGGACGTTCCATTTTCCAGTTTGGGTCAGTATATGCAGTTTCTGTAACCCCAACCACTTATCTCCCGATCCACAAATATCTCCGAACCCTCTTTCATAATCCTCAAATCCGCGGTTGAACAAAACGTCATGTCGTTCCCTCCTCTGGAAAACTATCTCGGCTCCCACATTCTCCACCGATGCGGAATGCAGACACTGAAACTAATGTGTCAAAATGAAGCTGACTCGTGGTTTAAATGTAAGAAGCAGAAATTATTCCTAAATCTGCAATCAAAATCAATTACGTTTCATTATAATTGAAGAAACAAATATAAATGAAAATTAATGAACTTACTGAAGCTTAGAGAGGACAGACAAAAGGCATCAAAAATGCCCACTATTAGTATGCCCTTGAAAATATAAATGCTTTTACCATTAAATATATTTCAAATTAATTTTTGTAATAAGCAGGAACAATAAAAATAAAAAAAAATCAATATCAGCACGGAAATCTAAGCAAGGAAAGCTGCCTGCAAAGGAACTTGCCTTTACAGCATAGCACCACTGTGCCCTCATGAGATTGGGGACAGAAAATCATGATTGAGAAAAAATAATCATAATAACAAAAAAAAAATATTTTGAAAAAAATGCAATTTCAAAGGTTTTTTCTTTTTACGATTTCTTTAAGCTACAATGTTTCTGAATGCATAATTTCTCTGCTTATTCGGATGAAATTGTTAGGCATTTTACCATCGAAGTAAAGCTCAGATAAAAACATTGCAAAAAAAGTACTTTATTTTCTTTTTTTTTTCAAGTTTTTGAAAATTGTTTTTTTTTTTTGAAAAATCGCTGTATCTCGAAAAGTAGAAAGCTTCAGCGTCTCATGATTTGAGAATATAGTCTAAATTTCTTTTTCTGCATAGTGGCATTCAGAAGAATCAGTCAAAATTCCAATATTATAATAATACTCAATGTATTTACCAAGATATATATATACGTATTTAAAAAAAAAAATTATCATTATTGGCCAATTTGAGAAGAAAAAATCGGACGCACTAAATCAAGATTTTCAAGAATATATATGTCTCTTATTCGATGCAAAAAGCAATTGATCGCATCCTTGCTCATTTTAATTAACTTTCAGGCAAAATACGATTTTCGCACAATACATATAGCCACTTGTATCCTCTATTTGTAATTGACTTTTCCTTTAATTTACTTTTGCATAAAGGATTACTGAAATTGACCCATATTGTACTTCTCGTTAAATAACTTTTGGCTCTTACATTGAAAAATTGTTCAAATACTTAGTAGAATTGATTTTATTTCCGGATTTCAAACAGAATTTCAAGAGATCGTAAATAAAAAACTCATGCACTGTCAGTATTTTGTTTGAAGAGTAAAATTTTCTTATGCTTTCGAATTTTCGTTTGAAGTAAATCACACTGATTATTTTTTTCTCCATCTTAAAAATCGAAATTACGTTTGTGTAGCAAGTACAACCATGCACAAGCAAATCATATTGAATTGTTGGTTGGAATTTACTGAAATAATATTTGACAAGAAATTCAATGGAATTAAAACGCCGCAAGTTGGTAACAACCCCACAGTGTCTACTTAATTTTGACACAATTTTTTTTGAGTTATCTTTAAAAAATTGAAGTCAACATATACACCCAAGTAATTAGAGCACTAACATCATTTTCAAGGACTAACGTTGAGGACTAACATCATTTTTATTGAGAGAAATATTTATACTAGAAGCATTGGATGTAGTTTTACAATTTACAAACACAGATTTATCTTTGCCGAAAGTGAGCTTATTTGCAGTCAACCACTGACAAATTTTGCTAGTATCTTTATTGAATACTTCTAAATCTTGTCTTCCACAAGCTACATTTGTATCATCAGCAAAAAGGTAAACCTCCAAATGTTTGACGCTATCTGGCATATCGTTTACATACGCAAGGAACAGTAGGGGGCCTAGGACAGTTCCTTGAGGCACACCATGAGCTACCGGCAGCCAGTGCGAATTACTACGATTTGTAGAAACTATTTGTTTTCTGTTAGCCAAATAGCTACGAAACCAATCCTGAACAACCCTCTTATTCCATAGGCTTCCAATTTGTTCAAAATAATATCCTAATTTAACGTATCAAAAGTTTTCTTATGGTCGAGAAGTATGCTAAATTTCATTTTATTTTCTTGCGTCTTGTTTTTTCAGTTAGCTCTACCAGTGAATCGACCGTATTATGTTTTTTCTTCTGAAAACCAAACTTCTTTGAATCGAAAATCTTACAGATGTCCAGAAAATTGTATAATCTTTTGTGCGTAAACCGCTCCTAAATTTTCACCAAGCAAATAAGTAATGAAATAGGTCTATATTTATTTCGATGAGTTTTTGATCCTTGCTTAAATAAGGGTAATACTTTTTCCCACTTTAGACGCTCCGGGAAACAACTAGTTTTGAACGAAACATTTCTAAGATATGTCAGATATGTAGCAATAACAGTATACAAATACGAGTGTTTGGCCTTAATTTTTGGTTCATCCTCAATTACCTCAATGAGTTTAGATGCTATTGATGTAAAATATTTTTTGAAGCAGTTTACAATAACTTTATCATCCGTTATCTCTAGATTTTTGGTCAAAAAAGTGGAACTTTCAGACTTTGAGAATAGTTATTTTTTCTAGTTCATTTTAAAAATTTTAAAATAGGTTCCCTGCATGTTTGAATAATGTACCAGCTTTTTTGTAGTAGTCAGAAAATTGTCTTTCCTTTTTCTTAAATTCGACTTACTTAAAGTTTTTAAAGACATCTTGAGTTATTATTTAAAGTTAGGCTCTTCTAAGGTATGTCTATAGAGAAGCAGTTGCCCTACTTGAACCGCAAGCTTCATGACCGCTATAGCGTTTAAAAGCTCTAACTTGAACGTTGTAGCGATTTTTTTCTCAGTACTTGATCTCCGA